GTCCTGGTGTGACCGAAACAGTAAGAAGATTGTAATAGTTTTCTAATTGATTAACAGGAATAGCGGACCTCAAGATGAGAAAGCTAGTGGCTAAGCCCACAATCCTGGCCAATTCACTGAAAGGCAACAACGTGAGTGTAACAATACCCCTATTCTGTAAATTTTAATTCTTGACTAAGGCAGTGAAATAGTTGCAATAATATTCTACTTGACTGGACAAGGAATCTACTAAAATAGTTATAATCAATTGCTCTTACAGTGAACTTAACAATAAAACAACGTTGTTAACCTTATTCATTAACTGGTTTACCGTCTTAGTAATTTCACCTAACTATTCGCTATGATTGGCTAACAAATGAGAATGATCGGTCAAAATAACTGTATGTTGGTTGGCCTGAACCTTTACCTGTTCAATTTGTCTCTGGACTCGGGTTAAGTCATCTTCTGTGGCTACTCCGTACAACGATTTCTGAACGAAACACCAAGGAAATTTAGTAGACATTTCTTCTTTCTACTCTTTACACTATGAGTAGGGGCAGCTGGAGAAGAGGGTGCTATGGTTGTGTGCTGGTAAGATTGAAGGAACTGGTGAATAATGAGGTCCTAAGAGGCTCTGGTAAGCTCCAGCTACAGGTGTACCAAGTCAGTTGAGATAATGAGAGTGAGGTCCACAGTAGACTCGTTGCGTGAGACAGTGTGGCTACAATGTTAGGTAGAGGTTCACACTCTACTCGTACTGAGAACAATTGTCGTATCATATGGACATTGAGGACGAATTATTAAACAGTTCGTGTGTCAGTAATCAGACCGGAAATGAGGACCATCGTCAAGGTCCTGTAAGTGAAATTTACTAATTAATGCAACAATGACCGTCACAGAGCGCAGAAGCTGTACTATCCTGCAAATTATACCAGTGAGGGGGTCGACAGTTGAGTGAGGTACAGGTGAAGGGGATGTACTAGGTTCAGCAGCAGCATCTGGCAGGGCTTCGTTCTGGTGCTCGAGCAATTTCACATTGTCCCCGAGATTGTATCTTATCTCTCCTATGTTTCAACTGGTATCTGTGACCTGACACATTTTGCACAACTCGATAAGAAGACGAGGAGCGGCTTGAGGATGTCGGGAGTCGTAAGTTCATTCAGTGACACTGTGTCCTTCTCATCAGCTGCATCTCTGGCTCCACGTAGTAATGATTCCCTGAAAAAGTAGCAGTAAGTTAGGTCGCATTATTGATTGATATATTTATCATTCTATCTGACCGTTTAATTAACACCTGCCAAGGTTATGAAAATAGTATGTGCCAAAGCAGATGTTGTTCATGGGTAAATAATAGATTACCAATAAAAAACTTGAGTGTTCAACGTTATAGATGAGATAGAGTCGCTGTTCACCCCTGAAGTACTGCAAGGCTTTCTTAGGCTTTCTTTTCTTTTCCTTTGAAGAAAAGAAAAGTCGGAGATTAATTCGCGAATAAGACCAAGACCAATACAGGAGGGATGGCACGGACACCAGCCAGGCCCCGCCACGTGTTCATTACGGCTCCGAACACGAAGGAGTACAACATACCCACCACGGCCATCAGCTGAAAGTACATACCTGGGCAGACCATTGGTCATAAAGCACATGTGATGGGCCTCAGACAAGATGTTATAACTTATTTACCTTCAACATAAATTTATTTATTCCGGGGGGAAAGTAAATACCAACATGGCAAAGTTCTGGGTGAAGGCTGCACCATATTTATTTTGAATAATTATCAAGAGAATTCTTACTGAACATGTAATACACAAGAACCAACTTACTGGGTTTAAACTAAAGATTGTGCTGTGATGATGGTAGGAGAACAAAGTCCTGAAGCACTGGATGATAATACAAAGCTCAAAGCATTTTTTTTAGGACTTTCGATGTTTCATTAAAAATAATTGATAATATTTAGCTGTGTTGACTGTACACCGCGCCTGTGATGATTACTGTCGCCACGTCACGCCTCACTGACAAGAGAGTCATTGGCTCCTCAGACCTGCAGGAGATCACTGCAGTATACCTCCTGCGCCAGAAGACCACAGTGTCACGTTTTCTAGTGATATGTAAATAAAACTGGAACAAGTTTACAAATTAATATACAATCTATAGTGTTCAGGTAGACCAGAGTTGTCAGGTAGCTCTTAAATATCTCTGTACATTACCGAGTAATGAAACCTTGTGGCTCACCTACAAAGGATCACTAGAAGGAAGCAAGCACGCACGCACGCACGCACGCACGCACATACACACACACACACACACACACACACACACACACACACACACACACACACACACACTACTAGTACTACTACTACTACTACTTTGCTGTCACTTGGAATCGAGTATGACGATCATCCAGTTGTGATACAATGATACGAGTTATTAATAACATCACGTTCATTTGTGAGCTCTTGGGTGACTCGAGAAGCCGATAAGGGACCGGCAGGGCCGCCCATAGATGTTGTATGTGTGGAGGGCTACATCTAGTGCGGGAGGAGCAGCAGCAGCGTCTTTTGTGTGTGTGTGTGTGTGTGTGTGTGTGTGTGTGTGTGATTCTGCATAGACAAAATGTGTGTTCATATTTACAAGGCTATCAGTTTGCAGGCTATAAAATAATATATATTTTTTTAATAGTGAAGGGTTGGGGTGAGGGACGGATGGTTGGGTGGAGGAGTGGAGTGCTCAGTGATGAAGGGATCAATGGAGGGAGTGGAGGAGGCTGCTCAGTGATGAAGGGATCCGGACGAGTGCTCAGTGATGAAGGATCAATGGAGATGGAGAGGAGGGGCCCGGGACGAGTGCTCAGTGATGAAGGGATCAATGGAGGGAGTGGAGGGGAGGTGGTGATGAAGGCCGGACAGACTGCTCAGTGATGAAGGGATCAATGGAGGGAGTGGAGGAGGCCGGGACGAGTGCTCAGTGATGAAGGGATGAATGGAGAGGGAGGAGGCCGGGACGAGTGCTCAGTGATGAAGGGATGAATGGAGGAGTGGAGGAGGCGGGACGGTGATGAAGGATCAATGGAGGGGGAGGGGACGAGTGCTCAGTGATGAAGGGATGAATGGAGGGAGTAGAGGAGGCAGGGACGAGTGCTCAGTGATGAAGGGATCAATGGAGGGAGTATCGGAGGCCGGGACGAGTGCTCAGTGATGGAGGGATGAATGGATGGAGTAGAGGAGGCAGGGACGAGTGCTCAGTGATGAAGGGATGAATGGATGGAGTAGAGGAGGCCGGGACGAGTGCTCAGTGATGAAGGGATGAATGGATGGAGTAGAGGAGGCCGGGACGAGTGCTCAGTGATGAAGGGATGAATGGATGGAGTAGAGGAGGCCGGGACGAGTGCTCAACAACCAGGCCCCATTGTGTACTGGAGCCGAACACTGCTTCACTCGTCCCTCAGAACCCTATCCCTGTATACTCTAGATCACGTCAGTTATCCTTCAGTGAAAATAAACAATGACAAACAAAGTGTTTGATAAGCAGCATCGCAGTGTTTTACCATATATTGTTTCTTGGAAATATTGATAACGTAGTAGTGAGATTGTACAGTTTAATAGCATGCTAGTGAACTAATACCAGATTATCCCACTGTTGTTAATTGTATGGATATTATGATGACCTGTGTTAAAGCGTTCTCTTCTCCTTCAGATCCTGAGTAAATACTACACTTATGTCCATCCTCTCTTTCCCCCTGCCGCAACTCTCTCTCTCTCTCCATGACCCTCTTTTTCTCTCCCTACCCCCTCTCTCTCTCTATCCTGCTTCCCCTCTCTCCCTACTCTCCCTCTCCCTGCCTCCCCTCTCTCTCTCCTCCCCCTCTCTCTTCCCCTACCCTCCTCTCTCTCTCTCCTGCCTCCCTCTCTCTCTGTCCCTGCTCCTCTCTCTACCCTGCCTCCCCCTTTCTCCCTTCTCTCTCTCCTCCCTGCTCCTTCTCTCTCCCCCTCCCGTGCCCCTCTCTCTGCCCCTCCCTGCCCCTCTCTCCCCTCCCCCCCCCCTCTCTCTCCTCACTCCCTATCTGTCCCTGCCCCCTCTCAATTATCGTCCTCTCTCTCTCTCTCTCTCTCTCTCCTGCCCCTCTCAATCCCGCTCCTCTCTCTCCTCTCTCTCCCTCTCTGCCCTCTCTCTCCCCCCTCCGCCCTCTCTGAAGTATTGTTACGGTGTAGAGTGTCCCAGTAGAGGGAATCTGCCAGAGGCCAACACACACAAGCTATGCAACATGTCACGCCTCACTCCAACATGTCGTAGCGGTAATGGGCCAAAACTCCAAATTTGTCCATTTTTGGTGACCTATGACCCCTGGAATTGGTAGTTGTGTTATAATGTATTACAAAGCTTCAACAACTAAAGCCTTTAAAGCGCATAGTCTAGCTTCGTAAAAACAACAGTCGCCAATAATTAGAAATTACGAGATGCAGGAATTTGGTATCATTGTTGTGTGGGTTATACAGGCAGGTGTATTGTGTCAGGTTTTATTATAATTGGTTTATATGTGACCGAACAGCTGATCGCAATGAGAATTTTGTGTGTGTTTGACAGTCGTGCGACATTTTCGCTGTAGGAACACTACGAATGAACGCGAACAAGTCGGTGTAGATATTTTTTCCGATTAACTGATTTATTGTTTTTTATATAGACATCTGCTCCAAGAACCAAGGCTAGGTGGTAGTACCCCCCAAGTCCTGGAGAGACGCCGCCAGACCAGGACACTCGACCAGCAAGTATTTAATAGTCAAAAGGACCAGGCAGTCATTGCTGGGGCTCTCGGGCCATCAGTTGGCCGTGTCAGCCTAGAGTGACCAATGTAAAGCCTGACCAGGGCTGTCATCCATCTTCGTGGCATTCCGGTTTATGTCCAGGGGCGAAACTCCGTTGTAATCTCTCAGAGCTTGTTTGGGCCAGCAGTATTCAACACGTTGCTAAACATTACCTACAACAGTGATGATACCAGCACGCATGTCCTGATATGGGAGTGGATGACGTACCGGAGCTGGACAGTGGCCCCTGAGGTTGGTGATAACACTGATGGGGACAATGTCAGGTTAGTTGTAGGAGGTCGCCTGGGGTGCCGAGCTAGGAAGGGTGTTACCAGAGCGAGGGGAGTGTAGAAGGATCCTTTCATTTGTTTCAACTCGATTGACCCTCTCCCTCGCCCTGATGGTTAGAACCACCTCCTCGAACTTGTATTGAACACTTCTTCGCTGAAGCAGCGTGATCACTCTGTCAGTGGAAGCAAAAGTGGTCCACTGCACGCACTATGATGGCCACAGTACTCACACGTTGATTGCACAAAAACAACTGCCTTTTAGAGGCGGCCACAAACTCATCTTACACTTTGAAGACATCAAGATCCATAACTTATTTACAGCCTTCTGGGCAGAGCACAATATATCTATCAAAGGAGGACTCCAAACTCCCGCAGACCTTCACTTTGGCAGGGCTACGGCCTTGTTGAAAGTGGAGGGGGGGGCTTGTCCTTCCTGTTAGGGATCAACAAGCCAGGTTGGTCAGAAGAGGACGACTCGGAAGGCCTGGCCATAGGCCACGCGTGTCTTTGGTCCATAAGTTTTCAATTATTAATACAGGACCTTAGGGATCGTGTACCTCCACCTACCAGGAGACGAACAGAGCCAAGAGCGGGTCATCAAGGACGGGGTACCTGGTCCTCAGGGAGCTCACTGATGGTGAGCCCCGCGAATCGAATTGTTTGTCCTTCGTGGTACAAAGACGCCAGTCCAAGGCGTCCCCCAGTCCTCCAACTCAGGGCGGCCTTAAAGGCGACCCCAACAGTGGCTGGGGCTGACGATCCGTACTGGTGTTCAGAACCTTGTGGTATCTTTATCTGGAACCTCACAAACGACAAGTTCAGCTTGGGTAACCGTACCAGGTGTCACCAGACACCCGCCGACAATAGCTTGATGGGTCGTCGGAGCTTTCAAACCTCTTAAATATCAGTATACACGTAGTGTGAATGTTAACAGGATAAACCAGAAGACCTAACCTTTTACCTTCTATCCGGACCGGCCAGAGTGTAAACCTAACGTAACCCAACGAGAGCAAGGAGCGAACACAAGAACCTAGAGAAACCAAACATGAAATCGTACAGTAAAAAAAAAAAGTCGAAAAATATTTATTTCAGACGAAAACGCAAGAGTATCACGTGACATCGACACTTTCGCTGATTGGTCGAGTAAGAAGTAAACAATACAGACAAAGACAGACAGACACAGTCCATGCCCACTAACAATGTTTACGTTGGAAGGCCAATTTCCACGAAGAGCCCAAGTGTTTTTCTGGTGGATACTCCGGAAAACAACCCGACAGTCAACAGCGATATAATTTCTAGATCCAGAGAACAAAAACCAAAACACACGACACCAGCCGACCCCACCGAACGTAATGTGACAGAGAGAGATTATTACCTTACATTATATAAGTCATGTTTGTTTGGTTTATGTTCCATTAACACTTTAGAGTTAGAGGTTACCGCTTTAACTGTGTCAAATAATATTCTTTAAATAAATTCCCAAATTCAGTTATGAAAGGTGACAAATAATGTTCCTGGTGTTACAAGACGATGTTCATAACCCACAGGGAGGTCAGTCTTTGTCAAACCTTAATGACGAGTTATAGATTGAGCTAATTAATCATTATCACCTGACTGGGGAGACTAGCGTGTAACAACCGGTGTGTTATATACTAGGTAAATGTTAACCTACGTGGGAACAGGTGTGAAGAACAGATGCGAAGAACAGGTGTGAAGAACAGATGTGAAGAACAGATGTGAAGAACAGTTGTGAAGAACAGATGTGAAGAACAAATGTGAAGAACAAATGTGAAGAACAGTCAGGTAAGAGGTGACTAGCGAGGATGGTGACGTGTGTGGTTCTCAGGTGTGTCCAAAGTTGATCCTCGTCTCGAACACCAGCCAGCTACAACAACAGACACCAGCCAGCTACAACCACAGACACCAGCCAGCTACAACAACAGACACCAGCCAGCTACAACCACAGACACCAGCCAGCTACAACCACAGACACCAGCCAGCTACAACCACAGACACCAGCCAGCTACAACCACAGACACCAGTCAGCTACAACCACAGACACCAGCCAGCTACAACCACAGACACCAGTCAGCTACAACCACAGACACCAGCCAGCTACAACCACAGACACCAGCCAGCTACAACCACAGACACCAGCCAGCTACAACCACAGACACCAGTCAGCTACAACCACAGACACGCCAGTGCTACAACCACAACACCAGCCAGCTACAACCACAGACACCAGCCAGCTACAACCACGACACAGCCAGCTACAACCACAGACACACACGCCAGCTACAACCACAGACACCAGTACAACCACAGACACCAGCCAGCTACAACCACAGACACCAGTCAGCTGCAACACAGACACCAGTCAGCCACAACCACGAACGTCAGCAACCACAGACACCAGCCAGCTACAACCACAGACACCAGTCAGCTACAACCACAGACACCAGTCGCTGCAACCACAGACACCAGCCAGCTACAACCACAGACACCAGCCAGCTACAACCACGACACCAGCCAGCTACAACCACAGACACCAGCCAGCCCACAACACAGACACCAGCCAGCTACAACCACAGACACCAGCCAGCCTACAACCACAGACACCAGTCAGCTACAACCACAGACACAGCAGCTACAACCACAGACACAATCACAGCACCACAACCACAGACACCACAGCTACAACCAGACACCAGCCAGCTACAGCACAGACACAGTCCAGCTACAACCAGAACCCAGCCAGCTACAACCACAGACACCAGCCAGCTACAACCACAGACACCAGCCAGCAACAACCACAGACACCAACCAGCTACAACCACAGACACCAGTCAGCTACAACCACAGACACCAGTCAGCCCACAACCACAGACACCAGCCAGCTACAACCACAGACACCAGCCAGCTCACGACACCAGCCACTCCCACCCAACCACAGCAGAACCTGCTACAACCCAGACACCAGCCAGCTACAACCACAGACACCAGCCAGCTACAACCACAGACGCAGCCAGCTACAACCACAGACACCAGCCAGCTACAACCAGACACCAGCCAACTACAACCACAGACCCAGTCGCTCACAACCACAGAACCAACCAGCTACAACCACAGACACCAGCCAGCAACCACAGACACCAGCCAGCTACAACCACAGACACCATCGCAGCCACAGCCAGCTACAACCACAGACACCAGCCAGCTACAACACAGACACCAGCCAGCTACAACCACAGACACCAGTCAGCACCAACCCTGACACCAGCTGCAACACAGACACCAGCCAGCACAACCCAGACACCAGCCAGCTACAACCACAGACCCAGCCAGCTACAACCACAGACACCGGCAGCCAACCGACCGACTACAACCACGAACACCAGCCAGCTACAACCACGACACCAGCCAGCTACAGACCACAGACACCAGCCAGCACAACCACAGACACCAGTCAGCTACAACCACAGACACCAGTCGGCACAACCACAGACACCAGCCAGCTACAACCACAGACACCAGCCAGCTACAACCAGAACACCAGCCAACTACAACACAGACACAGCCAGCTACAACCACAGACACCAGTCAGCTACAACCAGACACCAGTCAGCTACAACACAGACCAACCAGCTACAACCACAGACACCAGCAGCTACAACCGACACCAGTCAGCACACAACCACAGACACCAGTCAGCACACCACAGACACCAGTCAGCTACAACCACAGACACCAGCCAGCTACAACCACAGACCCAGCCAGCTACAACCACAGACACCAGCCAGCTACAACCACACAGACACGCCAGTCAGCCTGCAACCACAACCCAGTCAGCACACAACCAGAACCAGTCAGCTACAACCAGACACCAGTCAGCACAACCACAGACACCAGCCAGCAACACAGGCACCAGCCAGCTACAGCCACAGACACCAGTCAGCTACAACCAGAACCAGTCGCTACAACCACAGACACCAGTCAGCTACAACCCGGACACCGGCAGCTACAGCCACAGACACCAGCCAGCTACAACCACAGACACCAGCCAGCTACAACCACAGACACCAGTCGCTACAACCACGACACCAGCCAGCTACCACGAGCACCAGCCAGCTACAACCACAGACACCAGCCAGCTACAACCACAGCCAGCCAGCTACACCACAGACACCGCAGCTACAACCACAGACACCAGTCAGCTACAACCACAGACACAGCCAGCTACAACCACAGACACCAGCCAGCTACAACCACAGACACCAGCCAGCTACAACCGCACCAGTCAGCCAACCACGACACCAGCCAGCTACAACCACAGACACAGCCAGCTACAACCACGACCCAGCCAGCTACAACCACAGACCCCAGCCAGCTACAACCACAGACACCAGCCAGCTACAACCACAGCACCAGTCAGCTGCAACAG